CATATGGAATCACAAGAGAGCCCACATACCCAAGACAATCCTAAGCAAAAAGAACAAAGCTGGAGACATCACACTGCCGGACCTCAAACTATACTACAAGGCTACAGTAATCAAAACAGCATGGTACTGGTACCAAAACAGAGATACAGACCAATGGAACAAGACAGAGGCCCCAGAAGCAACATTATACATCTACAACCATCTGATCTTGGACAAACCTGACAAAAAACAACGGGGAAAGGACTCCATGTTTAATAAATGGTGTTGGGAAAACTGGCTAGCCATGTGCAGAAAGCAGAAACTGGACCCCTTCCTGTCACCTTACACTAAAATTAACTCCAGGTGGATTAAAGATTCAAACATAAAACCTAACACCATGAAAACCTTAGAAGAAAACATAGGCAAAACGATCCAGGACATAGACATAGGCAAGGACGTCATGACTAAAACACCAAAAGCAATGGCAACAAAAGCCAAGATATACCAACGGGATCTAATTAAAATTCAGAGCTTCTGTAGAGCAAAAGAAACCATCATTAGAACAAACTGGCAACAAACAGAATGGGAAGAAATTTTTGCAATTTACCCATCTGACGAAGGGCTAATATCCAGAATCTACAAAGAACTAAAACAGGTACACAAGAAAAAAACAAACTAACCCATTCAAAAGTGGGCAAACGATATGAACAGACAATTTTCAACAGAAGACATATATGAGGCCAACAAACATATGAAAAAATGCTCATCATCACTGGTCATTAGAGAAATGCAAATCAAAACCACATTAAGATACCGTCTCACACCAGTTAGAATGGTGATCATTAAAAAATCTGGAAACAACAGATGCTGGAAAGAATGTGGAGAAATAGGAACACTCCTACACAGCTGGTGGGAGTGTAAATTAGTTCAACCATTGTGGAAGACAGTGTGGCGATTTCTCAAGGATCTAGAAACAGAAATTCCATTTGACCCAGCAATCCCATTACTGGATATATACCCAAAGAACTATAAATCATTCTATTATACAGACACATTCACACATATGTTCGTTGCAGCCCTGTGTACAATAGCAAAGACCTGGAACCAACCCAAACACCCATCATTGATAGACTGCACAAAGAAAATATCTTACATATACACCATGGAATACTATGTAGGCATAAAAGACAATGAGTTCGTGTCCTTGGTACGGACTTGGATGAATCTGGAAACCATCATTCTCAGCAAACTGACACAAGAACAGAAAACCAAACACCACATGTTCTCACTCACAGGTGGGTGTTGAAAATGAGAACATGTGGACTCAGGAAGAGGAGCATCATACACTGGGGGCAGTTGGGGGGTAGGGGAGGGACAGAGGGGGTTGGGGAGGGCAGGGAGAGATCACATGGGAGAAATGCTGGATATAGTATATACCTAAAGTAAAATAAAAATTTAAAAAATACCATTTACAGTAGTATCAAAAACTTCAATACACAGGCATAAGTCTGACAAAAGATGTGCAAACCTAAATATTAAAAACTACAAAGTATAGTTGAGAAAATTTAAAGAAGAGATGTATCAATGATGTAAATAAAAATCAATTTTATTTTAAAACTTACTATAAATCTGAAATAATTAAGGCAGTGGAGTATGAGTGTCCAGAAGGACAAATAAATCAGTGGAAAAGAATAGAGTTCATAAATAGATCTACACATAAATAAACAACTGCAAGGGAACAAAGGTAATTCAATGGAAAAAGGGTAGTTTTTCCAATTGGAGATCCAATGCAAAAAAGTGACCTGGATCCTTACCTCATATCTTGTATAAAATTTAACTCTATTAACCATAGATCTAAATGTAAAACCTAAAACTATAAAACTCCTAGAAGAAAACACAGAAGAAATCTTTACAGTCTTGGGTTAGGCATGATTTCTTATGTGACACCAATAGCACAATTTATAAAAGAATAAATTGATGAATTAAACTTCATCAAAATTAAAAATGTTTGCTCAGTGAAAAACACTGTTAAGAGAATGAAAAGAAAAAACTGAGTCCATCACCACTCCGCCAGTGAGTCTCACTAACACCTCACTGCGAGGATGAATTATTTCTTCCTTAGAGGTTCCTAAAATCTTTCCCAGAGGTGGAAGAACAGTGCACAGCAAATGTTACAAGCTTACTCTAGTAGCAGCCAGGTTAAGTGTGGAGCTGCCTGTCGTTATATGTAAAGCTGAAACAGTAATTATCAGAGACAATGTCATGTGGGGTTGCCAGTTGAGAATTACCAAAACAAATGGTCTTGAGCTAGGCTCCCAAATCCAAATGGAACAGAGACAAGCAAGATCAATAGAAATCAATGCAGGAAAAGTCAGAGGCAGGTGGAGAGAAGACAAGCCATCTATCTTTATCTGAGCTGGTACTTAGGTGGGTCAGTTAGTGGAATAATCCATCACTTTCAACTGGCATGCAAAATCCTGTTAAAGAAAAAAGGAGAGGGACACAGACACTCAACTTTCATTCTTACTTCTTTAGGTAAACTGTACCATTCCAGGCTCCAATTTCCTGAATAAAACTAGTTATTTCAAGCCTTTGAACCATTCCTTTTTCTGCTTCTTCTGCTTAAGATTTCCTTCTTGCACTTCTCTTGTCTTCTGTGGAACTATCAAACACCACTCCTTTTCCAAAAAATGTTACTATGCTTCAACTGTCTTATTTGTTTCCCCCTGGTATTTGGATCTCAATTTTATCTAAGAACTCTGGCTGGATCACTCTTATAAAATTCATAGTTTCTGACTGCCTCAAGTACTCTTCTCACTCTAGCCAAACTCATCAACCAATTCCTGTCCTATACCACTCTGATGGTGGCCAGTTAGCTGTTCTTATGGGATGGGAATATTCCCACTGCAAACCTAAGAAATCATGCTAATGTTACTGTGTCATTACAGTGTCATTAATTATTTTAGATAACATATAACATGCACTTAATATGTGCCAGACAGTATGCTAAATGCTTTATTTTCAGCACCTCATTTAAGTCTCACAATTTCAAGGGGATTTTTATGTTCTTACATTCATTTTACAAATGAGAAAACTGAGGTGCCAAAAAGCTAGGAAACTTACTCAAGGTCACAGACCTGGAAGGAGTTAGGCTGTGAGCCCAGACAGACTACATTCAGCGGCTGAGTTCTTAACCACTGGTCTATAACGCTATCAAAAAAGGAACTTAATACCTTTTTCCTAACTTCCCTGTTGCTCAAGCAAAAACTAAGCTTACTCTACCTTTTTCTCTCAAATTCCCTGATCTCCAATCTTCCTGTGCCCAACTTAGTTTACTTCTTACCTGAATGATGACAGTAGTCACCTAACTGCACTCTGCCATAAGGTGTATTCCTCATAAAAATCAGACTGGACCTTCCAAATTACAATTTGATCATGTCACTCACAACTGAATTCCTATAACCTATGCAGTGGTCCAAACTCCTTAGCACAGGGAAAACAGGGCCCTTCACCATCCAGTCCCTTTCTACTCCTTCGACTGCACTTGCCATTTCCGTATATAAATATTACATCAATATTCCATTCAAACCAGCCTTATTACAAGTCTTTAACAAAGCATATTCTTAATCCCCTCAGTGGCGCAAATACTGTTCTATTTGGGATGCCTAGAGTTTTTATATTGTAAATTCATATTGGTACTGCACATTTCAGCCCAATAGCAACTTCTCTGATCACAATTTAATAATAATAGTGTAATAGTTTATATTAATCACAATGTATCAGATACTATTCTAAATCCTTTACATATTTTAATATTCACTTAATCATTCCAACAACCCTATGAGACTGTGGCAAAAGAGCTAGCAGTTGCTGTCACTTCAGTATATTTTTGAATTAATACATTTCCCTCCCCAAATTAAATTCTTGGAGGTACAAATTGTCCTGTTCATCTTTGCAGCAGCTGTTCTTGTATAGTGTATGGTACATAATAGAAACAGGAGTTCAATAAACATCTTTCTAACAAATGGCCAGAGAGCTGTGCCCCTAGGTTTTAAACGCACACTTGGAAACTGTTGCTGGCCATTAGCCTTCTAGTCTTCAGAGTACGAGAGAAGCATAGCAAACATGTTTAGTGTCTAGTAGAGTTCTGCGTAAGCTGCAAGTACTACTACACGATTCTGCTTAAATATACACACATCCTCACGTATACCATCAAGCTTTATTTTTCCGGCAACTAACTTCTTTAAATCTTTACAAATTTAAATGTAGCCAACCAGCATTCAAAAAAGATTTGTCGGTCAACGACGACGACATTAAACATATATATGAATATGAAGTTAAAAAAAAAAAAAAAAAGGAGCTTACTTTGCTCTTTCAGAGAGTCGATTTCTGTGGCCATTTCGATACAATTTTAGTTTGGAGCTTTCACCATCTCTACGTTCCTCTGAAAGGCAGAGAGCTCGCCGTGCGGGAAAACAAAACTAAGTCAACGCTCGGTTGGTTGTCAAGCGCTCCAGCGGTGCAATCTGCATCCTACTCACGCGGCATCTACAGCCCCGCCACACTTCCTTCCCCCGCGTACCCGACGAGTCCCTGGCCCGGGCGCGAGAGACAGAAGACTGCTAGGGACGCGCCAGTGAATTCTGTTCCACATTCAACCGAATCCCACCCTGGTGGGAGGAGGAAGCGGTCGATACAGGCGTCCCGCAGGTCACTCGGGGTCCTGTCGCGCCACCTAGGAGAGGGCCGAGGGAGCTGGAGGGCAGCCTGCGAGCGGCGTTCTACGCGGAGCGGAGGGGGTTGGAGGGGACGACGCCAAGACGGCTGGGAAGCCCCAGGCCAGCAGCGGAAGTCCACTCGGCCCGCCCTGCGACTTTGAAACCGGTGCCCCGGACCACTCCTTGGAGACGGTGACGCCGCCTGCGTCATCACGCGAGCGTTTGCGCTTACGCCATCGCGCTTCCTACAGTCCTAGCACGCTATTGGCTGGCTGTCAAACAATGGGAGGAGCCTTAAGAACCTGGATGACAGCGGGCTGACCCACCGGCTTGGCGCGGCGGGCAAACTAGTGAGACAGTGTCTCTAAGTGGTAGGGCCCAAGGTCTTTTCTTTTCTTTTTTTCTTTTTTTTTTTAAAAAAACTCCCAAAATGTAAACGTGAGTAAGGCATGAAATACGGAGTTTAAATGCCCTCACTTATCTTTGGGTTACTAATATACTAAACCCTTCTGGACTAAGCAAAGGAGGTAAGTTCCTGCGGCTGGGAGCGGAAGCCACACTGGGGTCTTCAGAATCTCCCACCAAGGCTGTACCTCTGGAGGATTTCTGGGTTTGGATTTGGTGGTCTCAAGAAGGTAAATACCATCCTGCTCTTTGTGGGTCTTTAGACAAAGAAGACAACTGTTGTTTAAATATTTAACTGTGTAGTAGTTAAGCATGTAGTTATAAGTACTCAAAAAATCTTGCAAATTAGCACCTATTTCTTCGAAGATAAGTTTGTCTCCTCAAAAATAAGGAAGGAGAAAGGTACATTTTTTTGCAAAAACGAACAAAAAAATAAAACTTACGTTTGTGGATAGATTACAATTTTCATTTTTTAAAATTGATTTTGTCTTGATTTAAAACGTATGTTTAAAAAAAAACATTTAACATTGGAGGAAATCTCACCAGTAACAACAAAAATGTTAACTTGAAGCTAGCCACTAGTTTTGTGTTTTTTAATAAACTGTATTTTTATGGATTGAAGTAAAGTTTCACTAAACAGGTATGTCATAGATGCAGCTTGATTTGGCTTTCTGTTTAACAGCTTAAGAAGTTTTGTTGTCCTGTACCCATAATGTCATATAAACAAAGTAACCTCAGCTATATGTATTAACAAATTTTACAAATGTATCCAAATATGTCTGGTTAGGCATCTGAAGGCCTTACTCAGTACTCTACTCACTGTTAATAGAATGAGATGGTCACTTCCTCTAAAGACCAGCTGTTAAATATGGATGCGTATCTTAATAATTATTGAAAAGCTCTAATGTAGCGTAGAGTTGATGATAATTGAACTTGTTCTGATTTTTAGTAGCTATAACGTTTACAAAAAAACTTTTGAGGGGAAATTGAGTGTTCGAGCTCCAACTCGTTTTTGATGTTCTGTATATGACTCTTTCTTCATAAACATCTCACTGACTCTCCAAGTCTTGCTTGTGACTTCTCCCACATTCGAACCTTGTATATTGTCATATTATATTTTTACTTGGCATCAAATAAATAATTATAGACTTAACTCTACACTTGTACCCAAACTGGATGGAAGCAAATACCTTCTGGATATAATTGATGAGTGGTATTTACATGAAGTGAATATCTGAAGTGAACATTTTTATGTTTGCACTTGAATTTTTTAGCTTACATGATCATAATCATGATCATGATAGTTTTTTGTGTTTGTGTTTGTGGTTACAAGATTTTAGTGGTTCACTTTTAACGGAGTATTTTCAAAATAAGTTTCATCATTAGGAAACAAAATTGTGATGATTTCACTTATCCTTAAAGGATCCCCTCTTGTGTTTCTCCTTTTCACATCTCCTGAGTTCTCTATCCACTTCCCCCAAGGTAGGTGCCACCTTAGTACTTACTTCATGCTCTTCCGTCATGTTTTATAGTTTATAGTCTCTCTCATGTTTTATAGTTTGTCTCCAGGCTCCATCATAATACCTGGAACACAAAGAGTTGATTAAGTGTCTGATGGAAAGAATTTAGTGGATGTGTATGGAAACTATCTATTAGTATAAATTGAATACAAGGAATGACAAGCAGAAATATACGTAGTATGTGTTTAACTGTTGTCAAGCCACTATTTCATGTTTTTTTATGACTTTTCTGCAATAAAGAAAACCCCTAAAATTGTATAGATTGAAAATTAGTGACATTTCACTAATATTAATTTAGTTGATTGACATTGAGCACCCAGTACTATGTGCAAAGAACCATGAAGAACACAAAGTTAGAAGTTTAAGCAAGGGTCAGAATATATAGCACAGTTGGCAAGTGCCTGAGTTGAGATTTGAACCCAGGCAGTATGGTTCTAATGTCACAGTTGTTAACCACTATAAACATGCCTCCCAGGAGTATAGTATAATATAATATAGTATAATATAATTTATAGTTTTTGTTTATATAGCCAGTTAGCCTTTAGTTACATTAAATTAATTATTTCTGTACATGTTTTATTGTAATCTTAATGATTTACAGTTGATTTTCAAATTATTGGACAGTATTTATATTTCTGGATTACCCTTGCTTCTTCTAGGAAACCACTCAAACTTTAGTGGAACGATTAGAAGTAATAAGATGTTCATCTGTGGCCCTTCAACATCTTTCTTTCCTACAAAAATCAAGTGACTCTGCTTCAGTGTTCCAGGCCCCTCCCCCAGAACGTGTAGGCAGCTGGGTGGAGCCTAAAGCCTAGCCCTCTCCAGTAACCCGGCTAAAAGGAGGAAGCCAGTGTTTGAGAAAAGCTTCGTGATCTGTGTTCTTTCGTTATTCCTTCTTCTCTCTGACATTCCTTTCGCTGTCGCTAGGTCTTGTCTTTCGCTTGATCTGTGGAAAATACTCAAAACTATTTTACTTTTCGGCTGTCTCCGGCTGAGTGAGCGGACTCCCACTCTCAGGCTGACTTCCTCATTTCTCCGTTTCTCTAATAAATGGGCGGGGCCTCAGGGCGTTATGGAAACTGAAAAGAAATCATTATTATAGAAAAACGAAAAGAATTTTTGTTGAACAGAGGAATTTGGAAAATTTCCTTGCAGACCGTTAAGTTGAGAAAACACCTCCATAAATTATTTCTTTTGAACTTTGTGAATATTTTTTCTTTTTCTGGGTTCTTAATGCTCTAGTGTTCTGTCTCCTTTTTCTTCCTTCGTTTCCTTTTGGAGGTCTTCGAAGGTAAAGATAAAGCAATCAGAATAATTGAAAATTTATTTTTTTTAACTTGTTTTAAGAGCAATTTGAAGAATAGAGGTTAAAAGTGCAAACATACAGATTAACAATAAACTGTATTAAAGTCTAAACAGCCAAACTTAAAATTGCATTGTAGGACAGTAATCATCTTGATAATATTCATTATGACTTTTTGGAAATGTTCAGCATATATAATATAAAGGGAAAAAGAGGCAGCCACCATAGTCTTTTTAAGAGACCCAGCCTTAAATTGGACTTTAAAAAATATTTTTAAACTATTCCTTTACTTTAAAATAGTAATGCATGTCTGTCCTAGTATAAAATGCAAATAGGCTTTTCAAAAGTGATGAAGTTGAAAGGAAGTTTTCCTCCTTCCCATATCTGCAGGCAGATAATTCCCTTCAGGGAAGCAACCACTGTTACCACTCGTTTCATGGGTGTTTCCTGAGATAGTGTATGCATCACAAGCATATATGCATATAAGCTTCCTTTTTATTAAATAAATGCACCTTGCTTTTTTTCCCCTTTACAACATATTTTAGAATAGATGTTAATTTAGAGCTGCCACTTTCATTTTAGCAGTTCTACCGTGTTACATTGTATGATAGAGCATAATTTTTTTTAACCAGTCCTCTACTAATGGGTATTTAAGTTGCTTCCAACATTTTGTTATTCTGAACAATGCTACAACAAATATCCTCAATGCTTATGTCATTTTGAATATGCGTGGGTATAGTAACTCCTAGAACTAGAATTATTTTTGTCAAAGGGTATTGATATATTGATATCAATATTGATATTGATATATTGCTCTTCACAGAGCTATGTCAATTATATCTCAAGACCAATATATGATTTTTTTCTCAATGCCCTCATTGATGCAGCATGTTATCAGACTCTCTGATCCTTGCCAGTCTAAGTGAAAAATAGTAAATACAATTTTGTGGTTTTAGTTTGCATTTCTGTCGTTATAAGTAAACATTTTGCATTTTCTCTCTGTGAACTGGCTGTTCATAATTTTTGCTCAGTTTTCTGTTGGAGTGTTGGTCTTTGCCTTATTGATTTCTGGGAGCTCTTTATGCATTAAAGAAATTAGTTCTTTGCATTAAGTATGAATTAAATATACTTTTTTCCAGACTGTCTTTTAATTTTATTAATGATAGGCTTTTAGGGTAAAGGGAACTTGGGAAGGAGGTTTTTGCTTTTATTATCTTATATTATTTAAAAAATTCCACTTTTATTTTAGATACCGGGGATACATGTGAAGCTTTGTTACTTGGGTATATTGCCTAATACTGAGATTTGGGGTATGAATGATCTCATCACCTGGATAGTGAGCATAGTACCCACTAGTTTTACAACCCTTGCCCCTTCTTTCCCTTCCCCCTCTAGTAGTCCTCAGTGGCTATTGTTGCTGTCTTTATGTCCATGAGTACCTAATGTTTAGCTTCCACTTATAAGTGAGAATATGTGGTATTTGGTCTTCTGTACTTGCATTAATTTGCTTAGAATAATAGTCTCCAGCTGCATCCTTGTTGGTTTTGTTATTTTTATGTAGTCAAATGTTTGGGTTTTGGTTTGTACTGTAAAAGGTTTTCTCTACCAATGCAGGGAAAGCCCAGAATTGGGGCTCAGCCCGGGAGGGTTCTTGGCTTCATGCAGGAAAGAATTCACGAGCAAGAGCAAGTTTATCAGAGCAACAAAGTACAGGAAAATGGCTGCTCCATAGACAGAGTAGTAGTAGCAGCTCCCATGAATTGTTGACTAGCTATATACATGGCAATTCCTTGATTATATGCTAAATAAGGGGTGGGTTATCCATGCGTTTTCCAGAAAAGTAGGAGGGGTTCCCAGAACTGAGGGTTCTTCCCTTTTTTAAACCATATATGGTAAATTCTAGGAGATGTCATGGCATTTGTAAACTGTCATGCCTCTGTTGGGAGTTTCTTTTTGCATGCTACTTCATTTTAATTAGTGTGTAATCAGCAGTGAGGGCAACTAGAGATCACTTTTGTTGCCATCTTGGTTTTAGCTGGTTGTGGTCAGTTTCTTTGGGGCATCCTGTTTTGATCAGATTCTGTTTTAATCAGCAGGGCCTTGGTACTCAGAAAACAAGTCCAGCTCATCTCCTGTCTTACTACTATAAGATTTTATTTAACTCTTTTTTCTTGTTTTTATATGATTTTGATTTTTATGTTTAAATCTTTGATTCATCTAAAACTTACCTTGGTATAAGGATCGCACTGATTTAAATTGGACTGCAAAGTAAACCAACTGATACTGGAAATGGGAACCATATATTATTTTTCCAGCACCTGATATGGTACATGAAACAAGATGAGTGCTTGATAAACTAAATTGAAAGGAAATTTCTGGGTTTATCGTCTTTGTTATTAGCCATTGTATTGATCTGATATGTAGTGTTAAAAGAGAAACTGTGTTCGTTTATATCTTTAACCAATATAAATGAACACAGTAGGTTTCTCCTGTACAAAATCTAGAGTGTTACATCCAGGGACTAGAATAATTATTCACACAACAAAATAAATAGTAAGCATCACTTACAGGCATTCTCGCTGGGTTCAGGGAGTCAATAAACAAATATGTTAAGCCATGTAAGTGCCATGTAAGAATAGACATAGAGCAGTGTACAGGTTAATAGAGAATGACTAGGAGGGGAGCACTGGCCCAAGAGGTGAAGGATTTTGACAATTAAGTTGTCTCTGCTTAATGAGCACATGATCAAATACAAAGAAATGGAAAGGCTGTTGGGGAGAATCATCTGTCTCTAGTTGGTGTTGTTTTTAAACTAGATTGTTAATTATTGAGCAGGACAGACTATACTTTTTAGGTTAATTTTTATAAATATTATGCATAGTTAGATTTACATGAATGTTCTTTAACCAATATAAAGTTTTTTAAAAAAATAAACAAATTTGTCTTTGCAATAAGAAACAAAAGTTGTTTTATGCATTAAAGTCAAAATTATATTCTGTCTTTGGACTGATCAGCCATGTGTTACTCTTTACTTGTGGAAGTCCAGTTGCTGTTGCTGACAGTAATTTTCAAATAATGCTCAAAGAAACCTTATGGGGGAAAGCAGAAGGAACCAGTAGAATGGTTTGAGGTACTCACTACCTAATTCTTAACAGCGGTAACTTTGCTTTTATTTTTTACTTCTTCTTAACTTCCAGGTAAGATTACATTTTGAAGTAATTTGAAACTATGCAACTTGTCCAATCCGAGGCCTATGGGCTACATGCAGCCCAGGATGGCTTAGAAAGCAGCCCAACACAAATTCATAAACATTATGAATTTTCTTGTGTTTTTTTTTCTTTTCTTTTCTTTTTGCTCAGCTATTGTTAGTGTTAGTGAATTTTATGGTGGCCCAAGACAGACAAATCTTCCCCCATTGTGGCCCAGGGAAGCCAAAAGTTTGGACACAGCTGCTACAAAGTATACCTCACTCTCACCGTGAGACCCACTATGTGTGCGTGAAAGTGACAGGCCACTTTTAGGAGCATATCACTGGATATCACTGGATATGGCTTTATTCCATTTAGACATAGAGGTGATTGCCTGAATGTGCTGGAAATTAAGAAGTCCCTAGTGGAAACCCACTGATTAATATAGGTATCCTTTATAATGTATGCAGAATTTTTGTGGATTTGGTGGTTGTATGAAGAATAAGTGACTCTGCTAGAACTTCCTAGTAGCAAAGATATATTACCAGAATTGTCAGGAATTATCAAGCTCTAAATTAGGAGAATAGCATTTTTTCTCAGCCTATTGGTGTCAGAGTTAGAGTCATTCAGCATTTCTAATGTCCTGATTTATTCTTATTTCTTCCTATATGCTGCATGAGGATACTTATTACTAACAAAATTTAAAGTAGAGGGTTATACATTTTTTTTTTGTAGAATGTGCCTTGATGTTTCAACTAAAGAAAATTAATTTATTATTGAGGTATTTTATTTCATACAATTCCACTTAAATCAGAATCAATTTATATAATCTTATCACTCACTGAGCTTATATCAATAATGAAGAATATGAGTTGCTGAACATTTCTTCTGAAATACTATTAGCTTTCTACAAATGGATTATAATACCAGAACTGTTTAATTTTAGAGGTTATTTAGTAAGATTTGTTAGCATATAGTGAAAATTAGTAAAAGCTATATGCTTTAGAAAAACGTTTTCAGAGATCTTGGATTTCTTACATTATGCAGAGCTTGTATATTTGGATCTCCCACTGCTTAGCTCATCGTAGTTTTTCAGTACATATTCACTGAATTAAATTTATTCCAATTTAGTAACTTAATTACTTACAGTAAAAAATAACATATAAAGCAAAGGAATACATTCAAAGATTTCAGATAAAAGAAGTTACAGTTTGGAAAAGTCATCAGGTAATGAGTGAGATTACCTTTTGGATAAAACATAGGATCCAGTATAATTTGTGGGGGGGAGGGGGGTCAACCACGCCTAAAATAAAATTTTCATCTCCTTGCAGATTCCTGAAATGTCTTCATTGGGGAAAACAGTGCTGACACTTGTTCAATGTCTAGATATGCTAGTCATGTGACCTTGGACAAATCTGCTCCATTTGTAATGAAGGCAATAATAGTTTCTCTGCAAGTTTGTAGTGAATAAAATGAGACAATATTTATAAAATGTCCAATCCATACTATTCAAAAATATAATTTTATTGATGCATTGAAATATTATGTTCTTCTATTGAATACTTAGAAAACAAATTTAAAATGCAAAAACTGCTTTTTTGTAGGTACTTAGTCTATTTCAAAGTTTAAATGAAAGTAGATTCTGTTCCCATTTTTCAGTTGGAGTGAGGCAATTATCAAACAAGCAGTGATTTAACAGTTAAAATATTAAAAATGGAAAGTGTATATGCTGGGACAAAGGAAGGCAAAATTCAACTCTAATAACTTTTAAATGATTGGAACTCCCCAGCCCTAACCCCCATGAAGAAAAGGATTTTAGCCAAAAGAACAGATGTTAACAGCACTGCTTCTTCTGATTTATGGAGATTTTTTTTAATGAAGTTGAATTTTATTACAAAGATCTTGATTCCCAGAGGAACCAGTACCTGAGACACCTGCACACTTTACAGTAAATAAGAGACAAAGGATGACATAGAAACCCATGGTGCTTGTAGTTGCAGTTAAGTATATTAATAATTTTTGCAGTAGACTTAATTACAATTAAAAATGATTTTGATGCACTGTTTACAATAGCACTAGAGCTAAATCTAGACTTCAATTTTAAAGCTTCTAGGAACTAGTTACCTATTTTAGAGTAGAACTCAGAGTCTGTGCTTTGGCACAACTCAAGATAGCCTTTTGACTCCTAGGACTGTGCTCTTGCCACTTTGCTGCCTTCCTGTCTGCTGTTTGGCATTGAAATTTGTTGTTTCATTTCCAAATGACGAAAACATTTGTATATCATTAAAGAGTTTGTTTTAATATGTTTTTTCTTTTAGAGTCTTCAGATGGATTTTAAAATTGAACACACTTGGGATGGTTTTCCAGTGAATCATGAGCCAGTATTTATCAGGCTGAATCCAGGTGACAGAGGAGTGTTGATGGACATTAGTGCTCCATTTTTCAATGATCCTCCAGCCCCACTTGGAGAGCCAGGAAAACCTTTCAATGAACTGTGGGATTATGAAGGTAAGTGGAAGTACTGTATTTTATTGCAAACATAAATCTTTTTATAATAACCTCTCACAGAACTGTTATTTTATCTTGCTGTTGGGAAGTAAGTGCTTCTGAGCAATTGATGTGTACAGTTTCTGATACTTCCTACCAATCTCTTATTCTGACTTTTTCTCCATTACCTACGTGACTTTAACTATATAACTATAACAGTAAAAAAAAATGGCAATTACAAATCCAGATTTTTTTTATTGCTGCCATATTTTCTTCCTTTATTTCTGTTACCGATGCTGAGCAGGGTTCAGTATTCCTGTTTGTATTTAAGTATCTTTAAATTACCACTCTAACCTCATAAACCTTTTTTATGGAAGATTTGAAATGTTTTACTTATTGAAACACTATCAACCTCAACACGAAATGTAGTTTTTACTTTATACTGGCAATTCATCTCACATATCAAATTAAGACATGACATGAAATTATACTGTTTCAGGTTTGCTGTATGATCTCCTTCTGTATCCTAATTAAGCTATCAGAATCATCTTTCTGAAATACTCTTCATGATGCCATTTCCCAGATCATAAATCATTACTATCCCTAGAATAAAGTTCAAAGCCTTCCTTTAAGCTTTCAGCATACTTATGAATTGGGCCACCATATTCAAGCTCTTGACCTGTGTACCTTCTCATTCTATTCCCCCTGCCTCTAACACATAGTTCAAGGTCTAATTCATGTCCCATTTTTTCCAAGAAGATTTTGATGAATCTTCTAGTCAATACATCCACTTTATCTATGTCATTTGTTGGCATACATTTTGTCAGGGTTAATTTGTCATATGTTAAATGTATTTGTCTTTTATTGTTACAAAACTGGTGTATACCATCTTCCTAATGGAATACATACTAATATGATTTACCTGCTAGAGGCACCACAGACATGAAACTCAACAGATTCTAACCTCAACTCACCTACTTCTCTAATAAACCATTTCTTTACCTAATTGCCCAATATCAATAAATGGTACTAACAATACATTAAATCACCAAATCTAAAAATGGTTAGACCTTTCTAAGGTATCCTTCTTCGACACTTTCAATTATTTGGATTTATTTACTAAGTCCCATCAGTTTTGCCTCCCAAATATTCCTCTAACTCAGTATCTCCTCTTCATCCCCACTATCCTTGCCAAAGATTAGGCTTTCATCATCTTTTACCTGGTTTAGGGCAGAGCCTTCTAAATAGTCTTTTTGCCCTTAAGACCATTGTTCACTTAGAAGCCAGAATGATGTATCTAAAATGGAAATTTAAACTCATCCTTCAGCTACCTAAAAACCTTCTCGGGATACTTTTCCTCTCAAGGTAAGTTTTCCTCTTGTTAATATGATCTCTATATACATTTTCCATGACCTGGCCCCTTATTCTCTCTATGGCACCACCAGCTCCTCCTACATTGGAATATTTGCCTGGTAAGACTGAACTGTTCATAGATCTTTAAATAAGCTACATTATTTCCTAATTGTGCACCCTTGATTTTACTGTTGTCTTGCCCTAGAATGCTGTTTCTGTTATTCTTCACCGAGTTCCAACTCATCTTTCAAGACAGAGCTTAAATAGCAACTTCTCCAGGAATCCTTCACTAAACCACTTTTTTGAGCTAAACATCTGTTTTCTTTTTATCTGTAGCAATGCATACATCCTCCATTTTGGAACTTTTATTAAAATTTTCCATTTTAGTTTCTGATTAGATTGTGAGATAATAAAGGCATTTCCAGAATCTGATATAGTGTTTAATACAGATAAGCTGCAAAAGTATTTGTAAGGTGATGATGGAAAGTAGAAAGCAAAAGATATATAAGTGCATCTGTGTGTGTGTGAGAGAGAGAGAAATATATACACATATATGTACAGAGAGAGAATGTGTATGTATATATGTATGTATCTAATATATATATCTTCAAAGACATATATATACATATATATAATATATATACCCAAAATATATATATATATATACACATACACACACACACACACACACACACAAAGATACACACACACACACACACACACACACACAAAGATATATATATATATCTTTGGAGAGAGAGAGAAAGAGAGAGATCTATTTTAAGAAATTAGCTCACACAATTGTGGCAGCTAACAAGTCCACTCTTCCCTGGGTCTTCTGTCTGCTGGTTAGAGAGTCCCTTCTTCCCTAGGTCTTCAGCCTACTGAAGAACTGCTTCAAGCCTGCTGAAGACCCAGGGAAGAGTTGATGTTGCAGTTCAAGTCTGAAGGCTGTCTGCTGGCAGAATTCCTCTCTTGGGGGAGGTCAGTCTTTTTTTCTATGAAGGCTTTAGACTGATTGGATAAGGCCTAGCCACATTATAGAGAGAAATCTCTCTACTAAAAGTCTACTGATTTAAATGTTAATCTCATCTTAAAAAATGGCTTCACAGAAACAACTAGAATAATGTGTTACAAAATATCTGGATACCATGGCCTAGTTAAGTTGACAGAACAATTAACTGTCATATTAGACATTCTAATTTGTCTCAATAAAAGATTTAGAAAGAGGCAATAAGATTCTCTGAATTGCTGATAGAACTATATATTAGCTATTTTATTATAAAAATAACACATGGAAAATTGGAAACAACCTAAATGCCTATCCATAAAGTATTAAGTGGATAAGTTATAACATTCTGTAAAATAATACTATTCAGTCATTACAATAGTGTGTAGAAGCATAGAAAAAGTCTGGCAGGATATAGACCAAAGGGGAGGAAAAGGACGTTGACTTTTTATTTCATTCATATATATATATATATATAATTTATTTACAAGAAAGATGTATTATATTCAAAATTAAATGACTTTAAAAATAGCAATATTCAGAAATTTCCAGGAAATTATAAAAAAGAAAAGAAAGATCACCTACCTAAATTCCTGCAATTACAGATAAGCAGTCATTAACATTTTTCTGTACATTTTGCAGATATCTAGACATAGGCATACATGCAATTTTAATGTCACATACATTATGGTTGCTATTCTGCAGCCAACCTCTTGAATATCATGGATATCTTCCTATATCAACAAATAGTTAATTGTATCTTTGATTTTACTAGCTGCATTGTTTTCCATTGCATAGAATATATGAATTCCATAATTTATTCAACAGTTCTCCTGTATAATAGGAGATTTATTTAGAGAATAAGAGATAATTTTATGTAATAGGGGATAATCACTTAGGTTATTTCTAATTTTTGAATAGTACTCTAATTAATGGCATTATACTTAATTCTTTTCCCAGTTGTCAGATTATTTTCTTAGGATAAATTCCCAGAAGAAGAAAAGTGGCTCAAGTCTATTTGATAATGCTAATTTCTTTACAACCTGACCAGCACTAGTTTTTTTGTTTGTTTTTCTTTTTTTTTTTTTGGGACAGAGTCTCACACTGTTGCCAGGCTAGAGTGCAGTGGTGCAATCTTGGTTCACTGCAATCTCTGCCTCCCAGCTTCAAGTGATTCTCCTGCCTCAGCCTCCCAAGTAGCTGGGACTACAGGTGCATGCCACAACACCCAGCTAATTTTTGTATTTTTAGTAGAGACAGGGTTTCACCATGTTGGCCAGAATGGTCTCGGTCTCTTGACCCTGTGATCTGCCTGCCTTGGCCTCCCAAAGTGCTGGGATTACTGGCATGAGCCACTGCTCCTGGCCACCAGCACTAGTTTTAATTAATTTTTTCAATATATGGCAATCTGATATGTGAGAAAATTGTTGAAGATTTATTTCCTATATATTTCTTCTTCCAGGCAATGTCTATTTTCTTTGCCCTTTTTCCTATGGGGATAGTATTATAATTAAAAATAGTTAATTCATTTTATATTCTAAAAGAATAAACAAATTATTTATTGTTGGCAAGCAATATTAAATTTCTCAATATGTTATATCTCTGTTTTCAAAAGTTGTGGAAGCATTTTTCTTGAATGGTATAACTGAGCAGTATTTAGAAGTTGAACTTTGTCCGTAAGTATAAAATGTTTCTTCTTAATTATTATTACATAATTTGAATGAATTATTTTCTAGTTATAAATGATATGGTTATAGTAAAAGCTCATTAATTCCAGTTAACTAGTAAGAATGGTACTCTGAATTTGTTTGAATGATACACTTTTATATATTTCTGAGTTTCAAGTACAGAACATATATTTAGAATATATGTTTAGAATAAACTCATCTTCTAAATTTGAAAATCCTATGTCAATATTTTCAGTTCAGTAATGTAGATTTTTCTAATAAACTTGAAGATTTTTTTCAAAATGAAGTCATTATAAAACACAAACTTTTACTCATTATTTACTTCATAAATTTGCATTATTATATATAGCTGTTCAGAAATAAAAAGAGATATGGATATAATTAGTTGAACTAGCTTATAAAAATGTTTCTTTTAAAGGATTTTTAAGTGACTAGATGAAACTTATTTTATATATCACATAATTATGTATTCATGTATTCCATTCTTTATTCATCATGCATTTATTAAGTATGTGCTGTATTACTTTTGCAGTCAATGCCAGGGATAAAAACTAAATCACATGTGGATTTTTTTAGACTTATTAAAAATATTAACTTGGACTCTCTTTGTTTAGGTTTAACTGTCTCTTGGATCCTGTTTACGTGGTTGGCAAACTATTTCCTTTTTTCTATAGATGTACACCTATTATCTAAATTATAGCACATTTTAAATTATTAAAGTATTTAATAATGAAATCTTTATATTGCAGTTATTCATTTGAAATGCCATTTAAATGCTTCTTAGTGTCTGACATTCAGAAGCCATTGCTCCTTTTGTAGGCTGGACAGAGTGCTCCAAACAATTGATTTAAATGAGATTTGTAGATACTCTTTTATTTTCCTTTATTTTGATATTTAGCTAAATCTAATGTAGAAAAGTCTAGCTGTTTGCATTATGTTTTTTAAGAATAATCATAAACCTTTGTGTGTCACATTTCAACTAACATGCTAAAATTTGTTACTGACAAATATCGTTAATTCTCATAAACTGCCATAAGAAGTAAGAAAACGTCAACGATTGTGTGCTTATTTTTACCCTATAAGTAAGAAAATTAAGACAAACATTCCTAACTTGTCTAGAGAACAGTAAAGAAGTTGGATCTCCTAAAGTTTGGCCCTTAGTTTTAATTTTATTAAATGGTAATACCGGTTTATTTTCATAAAGTGATGACTTAACACAGATGAATAAAATAATTACATTCTCTTTTGTTAAGAAATTACACAGTAATAATTGTGTATAAAAGTAATAGATTTTAAAGGTTAAAGAAATTATCAGAGTAGTTTGGTTTCATATGTATCAGGATAGTTAATAATTAAGAATCAAGGTTTTGCTTCAGGCAGTCATTTCCTGTAACAGTTAATTAATCTCTAGAAAGCAAGAGGAAGAATATTGTTTTAATTTGCAAGCATTTTTACTCTTAGGATGTACTCCTAAGGGTGCATAATAACAACAAAAATAAGCAGAAGATTTTTAAATGGAAAAGAATACTTGGCTTCTGTTAGAATATTTTACTGAAGGAAATCCTTCCTGAAAAGCACTCAAGAGTATCTGTGTAGAAATGTTTAAGATACAGGCTTTCTTAGAGTTAATGAATTTGCTTCATGTAAATACATGAAATCCTTTGATTCTTAATGACCTGGCTACTCCCAATTGTACACTGTTACTGGAATTTCCCTTTGGGAATATACTCTGTTCCTTTTTGAAAACATGATGCTGAACTAATGGTAGAAAGCAGCAAAACACAAGAGGCAGACAGGTTGAGGACAGCATATGAAAAAAATAGACAGTGACTGAAATCTTTAGCCTGCTGACTACTTGCAGACAGTCTATGTTTTGCATTTTTAAAATTTTCCTAATGAGCTACCAGATAGTTTTCTTACAGAAATAACCTTTATTAAAGTTGTTGAATTCAGACTTGGAAATCGGTGCTTGCTTTAGTTTTTGAAACACGTTTTATAACAAATTCCAAATAACATGGTATCTCTCTGACTTTTTTTCATATTTTGTGTCATCTAGCCAAATGAAATATTTAATATAATTTTTTATTTAAAGAATATAAAAAGCAATCTAAACGTGAAACTTTATGCATTTGGTGGCAGTTGTCTGGAGAATGGTAAACTCAAAGATGTCATTTCTAAGCAACTGAACACACTGGCTCTCCTTATAATTATGCAGTATTAATACTGCATCTTTTAATTATTTGGAAATTTAGTTGCAAACACACACATTGCATGTATAAAGGATAATGAAGAAAATGACATTTATGTTTTTCAAACACTCATGAGGAATCTTAATTTTGACAGCCACGGCCAGCATTTAGTGCTTTTACTTTCTGGAAGAAGAAATGTGTGGAAAGTAAGTAAATTAAAATATGAGACAAAATCATTATGTACACAGTAATACATATATTTCTATGTTTAAAGTATAAGCCCAATTTTATCTTTTGTGTTCCACATGTTGTTTCTGTAGCAAGAACTTCCTTTGTCATTCAGAGTGTCCAGAGGAGAGACAAAATGGGAAGGCAAAGCTTATCTTCCTTGGAGTTATTTTCCACCAAATGTGACAAAATTCAATTCATTTGCAATTCATGGATCAAAAGATAAACGAAGTTATGAAGCTCTTTACCCTGTACCTAAGCATGAACTGCAACAAGGACAAAAACCTGACTTGTAAGTAGAAAATAAATGAATATATGTTCCAAATATACAAGTTTTTTGGAAGTTCGTTCTTAGTGGAGCAGAAGTGAGTAACACTACTGATCAAAGAAGACGACATATGTGCACAAGCACCTACTAGAGCCCAATGTTTGCTGATGATCCTCAGGTAATACTTAGTGAACTTTGGACTGACATAAATCTCTCTCACTACTGTCAGTAGAGCACTTATTTTTCCATGGTGATATGAGAAAAGTGTTGTTTCCATGTGAGAAAACTAAACGTTGCATGTGAGAAAATTAAACTTTGCAACAGCTGATACAGAAGTATGGTTACAAATTCATTTAAAACTTCTTTCAGAGCTAAAGGGCCAGAAGCCTCAGTGTTTCCTGGTGTGAACAAAGGATCCCCTGTTGCAAGGAAATCTGATCTTCTGTTAACTCTCTAGTTCTCCTCTTCTGGTAACCTCATAAGGATAAAAATGTCAACTCTGTTTCTAGGCAACATTGCTTATGATAAAAAAGGCCCTTAAGTGGTAAATTACATCTGGACTGAGAATAATTTTGAATGAAGTATAAATATGTGATAGAGACAGTATGGCTTTGGGATTCCCTTTTAACAGTCGTATTCCCTGTGGGAACTCTGGAAGCTATGCCTATGGAGTTATTCCAAGAGATATTACTCTCATGGGGTAGCAGGCATTTGAGCCAAGGTATCCGCTATGCTTTCTCAATTTGTGTCTTGTTTCCTTGCACCTGTAGCTGTCACGTAGGCAGACCAGAGTCTTATGAATGCTTCATGGGCTTCTGCAAGGACTGCTCCTTTAGGGAGGAAAGCCAGATGCTGTCCTGGGGCAAACTGTGATTCCTTCTCTGTATGTCTCTATGTATACTCACTATAGCCAAGGTAGTCTGGTGAGTCTGAGCATTTGGAAGAACCTAACAGAGACATCCTAGTGAGCATTGCACTATGGTAGATGAACATTCCTGTCTTTTTACCTTTGGAGTGTGCTGCATTATCCTTCCTCTCCCTCTTTGCCCTCTCCTTCCTGTCATGCTCTGACTTCACACTTCGTCTTCATCCCTTCTAGCATATTTCTTTATTTTGCTTGACATTCTTTCCCTTTTTCCCTTTGCCTCTCTCCCCAGTCCTGACATAGCTTCTACCTAGTCTCCTTTTTCCTTCCTTTTTCTTATCCTTCACTATTTTTTCCTTAATCTCTTACTCTGGGATTGACAAATGTGACTCAAAAACTGATTTATCCTTACCAGGTGGGCAGAATAAGACAAAAATGTAGTTGCAACTGACTCAACGTCCTCATATCAAGACGTCATGTCTCTGGCTGTTCATCAGCTAATACCTTCCTATATTCAGCCTCCTCATTCATATGTTATTGGAAGCTTATCTTAGGTGGAAGTATGATTATACACTGGCCAGGACAGAGCTAAGGCAGAGTGACTTCCTACAGAGTAAGGCTCCACTGAAGCACGTTACCTAAGACTTTCTTCATTAAGCCACAAGAGAAAGCTTCTTGATATAGTTAAAGGGTTTTCCTGGAAAGAAAAGAACTGGGATTAACACTCTTTTACATTAACCTCTCTTGCTTTGGCAGAGAAGGGAATTAAGAAGTCTGTCTTCTTATCTATGGAACTGAAACTTTTTAAAACAATTGCTTATATGACTGATATAAATTATACCAAAGTTTGAATATAAAAACATATGCAGGAGCATAATATGATTTGTTTAAAACTGAATGGAATGAGTCATGTTTTGAGAGTTGATTTCTCCCTTCAGCTGTGAGGGGGCTATTTGCAAAATTGAAAAAAGTGCTTTAAGTCACAGGTGAATGTTTTCAGAGCTGAGTGATAGCTAGAGTGAGAAAACTGTACATATAAAATATATCTTACCTTTAGTATTGCTTAAAATAGAATGTTGTCCTATCACAGATGTGACAAAATAAATAGCCCTTTGGGACATCTATTTCACAAATGCATAATTCATTTCAATTCCCACTTTCTTTTTCTTTGCTTTTAGCCATCGCCTAGAATACTTCAAGCCTTTCAATTTTAACACACTGCTTGGAGAAGAATGGAAACAACCAGAATCAGACCTATGGCTAATAGAGAAATGTGATATATAGGAGTGTAATAGATAACCATACTAATCATTTTTTCTCTATACCTTTTAAGATAAACAAAAAAATAAGTATCAATCTTTTTTAAGACATCATGCATACATTTTAACAATAATTATTTTCATAGAAGTCACTGAAAATATAGTATCTGTTGCAAATTGTATATGATTAACATGAAAATGGATGATTCTTTATAGATGATTTGATCTATAAAGTCACAATGTTTCTCAGAGTCCCTCAGTCCAGGATGTTACATTCCCAGAACACAGTACAGTTATTCTTGAGAACTACAAGTGAGAAAGGGTGGACAATTGAGTTTGTCCAGGGCCACCTAGAGAACTTCTGCACTACCCTGTGCTTCGGCCATTTCATTGCTAGATATATACCCCAAAAAATGAATGTTCATAGGAGCTTTATTCACAATAACACAAAACTGTAAACAGTCAAATATCTATCCACAGGAAAATGGGTAAACTGCAATGTAGTCAGTGGAATACTGGTCATTAAAAAAAGGACTACTGATACATGTAACAACGTGTATGAATCTCAGAAACATTAAGTTGAGCAAAATAAGCCAGACATAACATACTGTCCAATTACTTTTATATTAAAGCCACTACCAGGCAAAACGCATTTGATGATAAACACCAGAACAGTGGCTGCTCTACGTAAGGGCAAGGAATTCAAATTGCATGGAAAAGGGGCTGAGGAAATTTCCTGGGGTGATTGAAATGTTTTGTATTTTGATCTGGATGATGGTTACGTAGCTGTATATATTCGTCAACATTCCTCATGCTGTATGTTTAGATTTGTGATTTTACTGTATGTAAATTAATTCCTTAATATAATACTCTTATAAAATAAACTGTAAATTAAATAAACTGTAAATTAAAATAAACTGTAAAATAAACTGTAAATTCAAGTTTACATTGCATTTGTATTTTTCCATTGACAGTCACTAGTGCTGGTTAAATATGGCCTATTGACTTACTCATTTCTTACATATGTTCTCTATTTGAAAAGAGAACTAGTGTAAGATAAATGCCGACTTTTACAAAAGGTATTATAAGTATCTTACTGACTTCACATCATGGTGGCAGTGTTAGGCATTTTAGATAAATTGAGAAATTATTTTTAAAACTGACAGTAGCAACTAATTAATTTGATATAGAAACGATCTGCCTGTTTTGGATAGGAAAGACATATTTTAAATAACCTAGGATGACTTATTTATAAATTACATGTATAATTTTATAAATGCATATAAAAGTGTCAAAATAAAAATAAGAGTATCTTGATTTTAGAAGTGAATCAAACACTATGAATCACAGTTTCAGATGTAAATCATAACTATTTATAATATGGATAAAAGTGAAGCACAAATATAGATATAATCACAACAATATAAAATACTGAATTTGAATGTTGTAGCTTGTAAGCTTTCTCAAACCTAATTTGTATCTTTTTAAAATTTGTTTAGATGTTTTTTAAACATCTCTTAACTTTCTTTCATCTAGATAAGAAATTTATTTTTCTTCTAATACCAAGCAAGCAAAAATACATTATATAAACATTTTCTTTTGAAAGGAACATGCATATCAACTACAGAATTTTGGAAAGCTTGTCCATTAGTCAGGTACAAGTAATAGATCCTATAGAAACTTGTATTTGAGAGTGGGTGTTTTTAATAGCCATTTCAAATTTGTTTTTCAACTTTAGGACCATGAAAGAATAATCATCCTTTTGTTTAAAATATGCATAAATGCATTTCTTTGCTGTGGTTTGAATTGTTCACTGCAGTGTCAAGCAGATTCTGTCTTCTCACCACCTAAATGATTAGACAGTGTACATATTTATTCAGGTGCTTTCTCATGCTTTTTCCCAGCTCCAGGAAAGTGTAAGTCACAGTCTGAACGGAAATATGCTTTTTATTTCTAGCTCCAAACTAGTTTTTATAAACGTTAAAAAAGTTTTTGCCACAGAAGAAAATATTTAATTTCCCCTCATTCTTGTCCTCCTTTTGCTCCTTTTTAAAATGTTAGGCTTTGGGAAGAAGATAATGAGCATAATTAATTTGATATTGAAAAAGAAAGGGTAGCAAGTGGATGAAGCAATTACAGTAAGCCCTCGGCCCTTTTCTCATGCCTCAAAGCCCAAGGATTGCCTCTTCTTTTCCATGTAAGTTCCCATGGTATTTTACACATTGCTTGATTAGAGCATTTATTTCACTGTGTCCTACATAGCTCTTCTGACCCACCTCCCATCCTCTCAGCCTAACTTTCTACTCCAGCAATCAGTTGCATAGTGAACTGACTCTCCAGTTGCCTCAGCTGCACTATGTATGTCTTGCTTCCTGCCCCTAGAGTTTCTCTGCCTTCTCTGCTGTGTGGAACACTAGCAGGAACCCATTTAGCCATTCTTACACATGAACTACCCTGGATATGTGAAGGGACTAAAACACCCCATGGGGCACCTCTTGACCAAGGAGGGTGAGAATTGATGGAGAAATACTTCTCTGTTACAACCCTCAGTTTAACAGTTCTATGGTCCCTTCTACACAGCTCCAAAGAAGTTCTCTTAAAAGAATCCCACCTGGTTATCCACAACAGTGGCCAACTGGTAATACCCTTTTGCCTGATCTTTCCTTCATTTCCATCATTTTCTGTTTTGCTCTTCCTAGTACCCCTCTCTTCCCTGGAATTATTTAACTACAGTCAATGTCTGTGGAAGTGATTGTCCCATGTTTGCTTTAGGGGAACCCAGGCTAAGTCAGTGATTACCTAACGTAGCCCTAGAAAGCATCTCATCAGAACGGGAATCTAGAATTGTATCATAGGGCACTTGGTGACAAGGACCCCATTGTTAGTGGTAATGCCTCTGGTATAAGTAACTTCACAGTTACTAAAACTTCTATGGAATGGTAGACTGGCTTGAGGTGCAGCTGAGGTACCTGAAGCTATGAAAACCATCTAGTCATAATGATTCTTCATGTCAACTGTTAAGCAGGCAAACAGAAGCATGATATTGGAAGAGATATTGATCCTGGCTACCATGCAGAGCTAGGGTTATAACTATTAATGGAGGCAGGATAGAGTATGTCCTTGCTAGGGGTTTCATTGAGGCATCCTTCGGTGTTTCAATGTCAAGTGATAACCTTAAATGGGCAACTGAAGCAACCACAGCCTGACAAGGTAAAGCAGCTAAGGACTCTGATCCTTTGAGAATGAAGGTCTAGGTCACTCCACCACTCCAGCCACTTGAATCTACTGAAGAGCTTGGCCAAATGTGAGAGAAATACAGAATTTGTGGTGGAAGAGAGAGATGATAACTATTAATTATAGACTTGAAATCGATTACAGCAGCCACCAAAGCATGTTCCACTAAATCTTTTGCATTTAGTATTTGTGTAATGGCTACCCACTTCCTTGAAGACTCTGTGACAGATTGGACTCAACGTGGAAACTGAGTGGTTCTGAGTGCTGCAAGGAGTGGGCTGTATTTAATATCTTTTGTGTCCCACCTCACAACCTCATAGGCCATTTTTCAATTCACCCATTTTACTCTTTGACAGCACTTTACCGCTGTTGTCCCATACATCTCTAGATTTCTGTATTAGTGCTTTTCTGACACCTCAGTTATGTGGAACACCTGTGGAAATTTGCTGATCTACTTTGACATGTATGTAAACCTGGAAGTTTGAGGGAATTGACAATAAGGACAGGATTCAGTGAGTAAATACTCCCCTCTTCTGTCCTTTGGGCAGACAATTCTGAAGTGCATTCCATATAATTCCTTAGTGGTCTCCAGTAGGACTCCACTAGAGTCTTCAGTTACCTACAGTACTGACTGGCTTAAAAATACAATCTTAGATTGCCTTACCTTATTTAATTTTTCCAAAGTTCCCAATCCCATTCATTAGAATCACATTCCAAAATGAATGAACTGCACACAACCCTTTTTAAAGACCCTGTTTTTGTGAGGGGTAAGGGTATCCAGGAATACGTGCATAACAAATCTTCTAACTAAATAGATGTATAGCATAAAATGTACTCTGTGTGTGTGTGTGTGTGTGTGTGTGTGTGTGTGTAGCATATTTTTTGTTAAATCAGTATTCCTGGCTCTACTCATTTTCTGAAAATTTCTTATTTGAATTCTGCTCTGAAAGAGCAAAATTTATAAAATTGACTATTGTAAACATTCATTTATTTATTTATTTATTTTACCAACTATCATTTTTCATGCAAGGAATAGTAAAAAGAGTTACCCCTGAAGCTAAGATGACAGATGAGGAATATAGGAAGCCTCATGAATCTATGAAAAGTGAGGGGTGTCTGCATATTTCATTTTGTTATTTCATAATAAATAACTAGTCATTAAAATTTATTTTCCATATAATGGGATCCATTTTTGTCTGATATTTATAAATCGAATATGTAATATAAAGAAGAAATAGAATATGTTGTCAAATGACATTTCACTTTACTACTTGTTTGAATTACAATGAAAATATGTAGCTACATCACTGGCCCTTGAGAGAGCTTTGGGTGTTGCGTAAATGTTTTACTTTACACTCTTGAAAAATTCGCAGAGAATGCAAGGTTTAGTAAAAATTCACTTTCTTTTGGCAGCCTATCACCTGTAGTTTCCATTAAACACATTTCTGACTCAATAGTACACCGAAAACCTATGTTTGTAATAATGCCCTAAAGCACTGCAGCACCTAGAGTATACCTTTCGAAGAGATAGCTTTCCTCAAATAGAAAACCAAACTGTAAATTGAAGTCTGAGCATTCAGAGAAATAAAAATTATGCTAAATACAAGTGTATGTTTTTGAATTAGTTTTTCAAAAAATGGCAAAGAGATAATATTACTTAGTGATATTATTAATATCACTAAATATATTTAGTATACTTTGGTATACACAGCAAAAACAACCAATGTCTTATACTCCCACAATAGTCTGGCCATCCCTTTTTGGCCAGCTGCCTGACCTTGTGCAAGTCACCTCATTGAAATATCTAATACTTATTGAACACTTACTATTTTTTCAGAAACTATATTAAGACCTGTACCCTCATTTTTGACAGCAACCTCAAAGAAAGTCAGATACTCTTGGAATGCTTATTTTTAAAGTTAATGAAGACCTACAGAGTTAAGTATCTTGCCCAAGATCATAGTTAAGAAGTAGCAGATTTGAATCAGGGAGTTTGATTCATCAAGAGAAGGCACTTATCTAACTATGCTGTTGCCTTTTTTAGTCTTCACTACTCATCTACAAAATAAAGCTATTGAGAGTGGTGTCAGCAAGATGGCTGACCAGAGGCACCTGGCATTCACTTCTACCAGAATAAACAGCTAAGACTTTGACTGCAGTGTTGAAGGAAGAGTGCTGGAGTGTGATGGATGAGTGGTGATTGGAAGTCTAGGAAGGTAATATGGAGGTATCTGTTGTCTGCCGCTTCATCTACTCTGCCTGGATCAGATACACCTGAAGTCAGGAGAGACTTCACATGTGGGAAAATGTTAAGCAGGAGATCCTCACTGTGCTCCAGCTCCATTGCCACTGCAAACACCTATAGTCCTCACAACAGAAGAATCCCATAGTTCCTTTAAGCTCTGAGTCCATCTTGGAGAGCTGCAGAGAATTCATGCAGCTGTGTTGTCCTGGACTAGGAGTACAAGATGTGTACTCCCCACCCCCATTCACCCACTGTGAACCAAGGTGCTGCAGCATGCTGCCGTCTTGAGACCTGAGCCACCTCTCAAGTATGTCTTGCTCTAAGGTCAGTAGCCTCTGTGCTTCTCCAGCACTGGGGCTCCATCTTCATTATGCCAAACCTACATGGGTTATGGATCACCACAACCCAGATGTGGGGAGTCTGGGCCCAGAATTGACTGTGACTCTGGTCTTTCATGGCAGAGAAACAAACCCCCACCTGCACTTATGGCAGGAGGAACAACAGTCTTCCAGTCCTGCCCAGGAAGAACCTGCCTTTGAGCCAGCCAAACTGCTGCATGGCCTCCTGCAAGTCAGAGAGGCCTCTGAGCATCTAAGCAGCTGATATACCCAATGGAGTTGGCAATGTGCCCACACTCAGAACCTGAGAAACAGCCCTGCACCCTTACATCCTCCCCTAACCCCACCACAAACTCGTCCCTGGGCCTTCCCAGTGGCCCTGTGCTCCCAATAAGGACCTGAGAAATAGGTGGGCACATTGAGAAACAGCTCCATGGGCTGTCCCCAGTAGACATGCCTCTGAGCCAACCAAGCAGCCACCACTTGTCTCTGGTCCTGGACAGTGTAACAGCCCTATGGCTGCAACCACAGCTAGACAGACCCCAAGGTGGCTGACCCACTGCGTGCATGCACATACCCCCAACCAGAGAAATGGGGTGGTGAGGCCAATCTCAGCAAAGGCACACCACTGTCACCACAAATTCTCTCAGCTTAGGCCACTGAGAAACTTGCAAACACCACTAGTGTGGATTTCAGTTGAAGAAGCTACATGGAGCTACACTACTGCATCCACCTAAAATGAAGATCAACACTTCCCAACCAACTGACACTCTAAGACCCATTAATACAAATTGCTCTTTTTCTATGAAACCTACCCCATAAAATTGGAAGAGGTGACGTTTCTACCAGATGTGTAGAAATCAACATTGGGACATATCAATACAAAAAAGCAAGGAAATATGTCACCTCCACAGGAAAACAATAATTACCCAGGAATAGACCCCAATCATAAGAAAATATATGAAATGCCAGAAAAGAATTCAAAATAATAATCTTAGGTAAACTCAAAAAGATACATGAGAATACAGATAGATAATTCAAGAAAATCAGGAAAACAATTTATGGTTTGAATTAGAAATTCAACAAAGAGATATCATTAAAAATAACCATACAGAAATCCTAGAGCTGAATAATTCAATTAATGCAATAAAAAAGAAATACAAGCAAGAGCTTCACCAGCAGACTAGAACAAGCAGAAGAAATAATTTCTGAACTTGAAGACAGATTTTTTGAAATAACACAGGCACACCAAAAATAAATAAATAAATAAATGAAAGGAAAAAGAAAATAAAAATACATTTGAAAGGATGAAGAAAGCCTACAGATGTATAGAATACCACATTAGGTGAATAAATATTCATATTATGGACATTTCAGACGGAGAAGAGAATGGAAAAGGTGAGAAAAACCTATTTAATAAAATAATAGTATTAAACCAAGATCTCTTCCTCCCTGGTTCTATAAATAAAAACAGCATAGAAGAGAAAAGAGGTTCATAAGCCCTTCACTTTTATGTGGTAGTACATAATAAGGAAGATGAGTATTCGAGCCACTCCTTATTGATAAGCCACTCACTAAGGGAGACACTTTTTTTTCTAAGCCCTTCTGAAGTATTATTCGTTGCAGCAGTGTAACACATGAAAATTATTATTGTGGCAGGTTTATATTGGAGGTGGACTAGGAGCTAATCTAAATGCAACTCTCTTAGCATTTATTATGCTTAGGGAATGTATCACAGTGTTATGGAATATTAGAAAGAAAGAAATCCCAGGCTTCATCTATGCTAAATGCTTTTACTAGTTTGTTTTTACAAAGATCAAAAGACAAGCTTCAGAAAACATGGGAACTTTGGCAATCAAAACTTCATACTCTTGACTAACTTGCAATAACTATAATAATCTTTTATCTTTATATAGGAGAAATATGGCGGATTTAGTAAAAATTTATTCTGAATGGTCATCTCATAGTCCACTTGTGCAGAAAACCTAAAGATTGTAAATGAATCTGTTTTCTTTTCACTATATTATATTCTTTGCAACAGTGACAAGTCATGTTTTTTTTAATATCTTTCAAAAATTAAATAGAGTATTTTTTTTTTTTTTTTGAGATGGAGTTTAGCTCTTGTTATCCAGGCTGGAGTGCAATGGTGTGATCTCAGCTCACTGCAACCTCCGCCTCCTGGGTTCAGGCAATTCTCCTGCCTCAGGCTCCTGAGTAGCTGGGATTACAGGCACGCACCACCATGCCCAGTTAATTTTTTTTTATTTAAGACAAAAGGTTTTGATTCAAAAAATGCCAAGTATAAAAAAAAAAAAAGATCTCTTTTATTCCCCTGTACAGTATTTCACTCAGATAAAACCAGCAGGCTACATGCTGCTCACAACACAGCCCCAGAGAAGATCTGGAAGGCACACCATCCAGAACTGCTTTTCATATTTATCCTATATACAGTCAGCAATGCCCCTCCCCACCATCCATGGAGCCCGGACCCACCTGCGTAAGTAGGCGAGGGGCCCCACAGAAGTCAGGGAGCTGCAGCACTGTCCCACCTGAGTCCCGTTACCCCATGAACAGAGCAAGCGTTGCAGCCCTCCCCCAGAAGGTCCCCAAGTCAGAGGAGGAAGGGAGGAAAGAAAACTAGGGCAGCAGCTGTGGAAGCTTGGAACAGGAAGGGAACCAAATAAATAAATAAATAAATACATACATACATACATAACATTGACCTCCAGGTTAGAATGCGCATCTTTCAAAACAAAACAAAAAAAATAAAGGCAGAATTTGTAAAAACTTAGAGCAACTGCAATCTTTGTATACTACCATGCCAACTGTACACACATTTACAGTTTTCTGTGGATTTGCATTGTTTGTGCATTGTTTGTGTGTGTGAGGTCTTGGCTTTGAAATAGTAAGTAAAAACCAAAAAGGAAGACCTTTTGGTTCACTCGGAGTTTTACTAAAGGAGGCAGAAGAAAGGGCAGGTGGCTCAGCATTTGGCCCTGTGGCCTTTTCCATGGCACCTTTCATATGAAGGAGGTGAGGGAGGACGGGAGAGAAAAAGAGGGAACCAAACCCAGGCAGATTTTTGGAGAACCAGCAGGTAAAAGAGGCAAGTTCAAGTATTTCTCCCAGCACAGCCGGAGTCCCCACAGAAGGCACTCCAAAGAGTTGGAAGAGGTGACAGGGACTTAAAATGGTGCTAGTCCTATCCCATCCCAACCTGCTTACCCCCTACCTCACCCATTGTGGCATTCAGCAGAACTTGTAATGAAGGAAAGAGTTCCATGGCAGGGTTCTGACCTCCCCACACCCTCCACCCCCAGGATATTTCGGAGTCCAGCAATGCTGGACACCTATGAGAAGGAGAGTATCTACGGGAGGAGTTGAGGCCTAGGACCCCTGGAGAGTCTCCTTTACCCACTGTTGGGAGGCAGCCTCCAGGGGCTTGGGATCTGGAATGAGCTGTAAATGTTGTTCCTGTATCAAGCACTGTCCTGCTTGGTGACAAGTGTCACTGGTACTCGGGAAGCTGGAGACAGAAGCTTCCCCTCCCTTGGGCATCTGACAGGGAGGGGAGGACCTGCCAGAAAGGCTGCTATTTGCTGGGCCCCGGTGACAGGCTGTGGAGGTGGATCTCAGCAGTTTCCTGGGGCAGGAGAACATCTTGCATCCTTGGATGATTCTGGATTTCTTCGAAGGTTGGCCTATCTGATGGTCTCAGGGCCAAGCACCATCTAATGAGATGCTGACACTCTGAAGAGACCCTCTGCCTGAAGAAAACTTGGCCCTTGATGATCTCTTCGTCATGCTCAAAAGGAATATCTCCACACACCATATCATACAGCAGGATCCCCAGGGACCAGACCGCGGTCAGTTAATTTTTATATTTTTAGTAGAGACGGGGTTTCACCATGTTGACCAGGATGGTCTCAATCTCTTGACCTCGTGAGCCACCCGCCTCTGCCTCCCAAAGTGCTGGGATTACAGGCGTAAGCCACCGCACCAGGCTTAATAATAGAGTGATTTGTATCAGTGACTTTTTAAAATGCAAGTTACAAAACTATTAGTGAGTAGATTATAGGATCTTTTAGTAGATTGTATCTAATAGTTAAGTAAATAGATTGAAAATATCAGAAAGCATCACAAGTATTAAGTGTATATATTGTTTTAAGAATTGTATTATTATTTTTTATCTAATCACAAAAGTTCAAAATACATTAATTTAAGCTGTTATACAAAACAAGCTTTTAACATTTTGGGTGTTCACAGTATAATCTCTTGAGTAACTAGTTTATATTCAAAAGAATCTCAATAATTAGTGACTAGAGAAGATTTGAAAGGATAGCTCACACCCAAATGCATCTCTGATGTATCTTAAAAATGAAGAAGGGTACAATCTTCAATTTAGTTTGATTTATAAATTGAGAATAAAACAGATAATACAGGTAGGTAAGTAGAGAGATTGAGAGAGAGATAGATAGACAGATAGATAGATAGATAGATAGATAGATAGATAGAGGGAAAAATAGAGATAGATGACTTGCATATAGAGTTACTACGATTTTAAATTTATTTATTGGAAGTGGATGTTTTCATAGTATGTAGTTCTTTCCCTAGTCTGTAAGTTAGGATACTTTGGGTTACAAGTATGATGACACATGACAGTGTTTGATCTAGAGAATGACAGCCTCATGGTGTCTCTGGCTCTATCTATATACGATTTTCTTGCTCTGCTGTTTTATTTATTTTTTAAAATTTTACTTTAAGTTCTGGGATACATGTGCTGAAAGTGCAGCTTTGTTACATAGGTATACATATGCCATGGTGGTTTGCTGCACCTATCAACTGTAGGTTTTACACTCCACATGCCTTAGGTATTTGTCCTAATGCTCTTTCTCCCCTTCCCCCTCACCCCCTGACAGGCCCCAGTGTGTGATATTCTCCACAGTGTGATGAGAACATGTGTTCTCATTGTTCAGCTCCCACTTATGAGTGAGAACATGCCGTGTTTGGTTTTCTGTTCTTGTGTTAGTTTGCTGAGGATGATGGTTTCCAGCTTCATCCACGTCCCTGCAAAGGACATCAACTCATCCTTTTTTATGGCTGCATAGTATTCCATGGTGTATCTGTGCCACATTTTCTTTATCCAGTCTATAATTGCTGGGCATTTGGGTTGGTTCCAAGTCTTTGTTATTGTAAATGGTACTGCAATAAACATGCGTGTGCATGTGTCTTTGTAGCAGAGTGATTTATAATTCTTTGGATATATTCCCAGGAATGGGATTGCTGGGTCAAATGGTATTTCTGGTCCTGGATAATTGAGAAATCACCACACTGTCTTTCACAATGATTGAACTAATTTACACTCCCACCAACAGTGTGAAAGTGTTTATATTTCTCCACATGCTCAGCAGCATCTGTTGTTACCAGATTTTTTAATGATTGTCATTCTAACTGGCATGAGATGCTATCTTATTGTGGTTTTGATTTGCATTTCTCTATGACCAGTGATGATGAGCTTTTTTTCATGTTTCTTGGCCACATAAATGTCTTCTTTTGAGAAGTGTCTATTCATATCGTTTGCCCACTTTTGATGGGGTTGGTTTTTTTTCTCATAAATTTGTTTAAGTTCCTTGTAGATTCTGGATATTAGCCCTTTGTCAGATGGATAGATTGTAAAAATTTTCTCCCATTCTGTAGGTTGTCTGTTCACTCTGACTATAGTTTCTTTTGCTGAGCAGAAACTCTTTAGTTTAATTAGATCCCATTTGTCAGTTTTGGCTTTTGTTGCCATTGCTTTTGGTATTTTAGTCATGAAGTCTTTGCCCATGCCTATGTCCTAAATGTTATTGCCTAGGTTTTCTTCTAGAGTTTTCATGGTTTTAGGTCTTATGTTTAAGTCTTTAATCCATCTCGAGCTAATTTTTGTATAAGGTGTAAGGAAGGG